TGGTTTTGGGTTGGTGCCCCTCACTCCATCCCCTATTTTTGCCGCTCATTCCCTTTTTTCCTCACTTGGCCTCAGTTTGGAATAACAGCTGTGTTTTTGCTGCTTCTCTAACTGTCTCTCTTTCTTCTTTTTTGGCTTTTTTTTTCCATTCAACATTATTTTTCTTCTTTATCCTATATCCAACATTTCTACCCCTCTGTCATTGGCTTTCTTGTATTTTCTGTACTCCTTGTGTCACATTCACAGGAGGAAATAGGAGAAGGAAAGAGTAAAACTAAAGCAAGATGGAGGGATGAGGAAAAAAAATACACTATCTTTTTTGAGAGGCTGTTGGGTTTGGCTCACAACATTCATTTTTCTTTGTGCTCAGTGCAGCTCTGGATATGCAAATTTCCACTTCTACCTCCCTTTCCTTTGCTATTTTTCCTCCTGCCTCCTTCTTCCTTTGTCTTCCGTATAGCTCGTTACTGGTGAATCTCATTAAATCTTCATAGATTTAAGCTGCTGGTGAAAAAATACAGATGTGTACTTTGATATGCAAATGAAACGACTATTCCTAAGATATTTTGCTTATTGTGTGGTTTTCATTATTTAGAATTGTGTAGATTATGTATTTTAGAAGGATGCATCGATACTGAGATTGTTATCTTGTATTGGTCTGATACTGTGCTAATTTACTCATACATATGTAAAAAAAAAAAAAAAAGCTCTGATACCAGCATCAGATATCACATAACACTTTTTGACGTAAGCCTGGTGTATGTTATCGCACTAATAAACAGACGGCAAGAAACGACAGCAACCTGGACGTATTTGACGATTAATGAGGGCAATCAAATCAAAGCAGACTGCAAACTGTGCTCTGTGAAAATATCAAGAGGAGGAACTACAGCATTTTCCTGTCTTAAACATACTAGTCAGCATGAGGAGTTCATTTGTAGCAGAACACAACTGCAACTGCAACACTGCAGCAAACACTGGCTAGGAGAGAAAAAACAAAAAAAATGTACAGGTCTTAGCCAGTATGTTGTTCTTGATAATCAGGGATGCTGATACAATGAAAACAATAAAAGTACTTTACTGTCAGCTGTACAGAAGAACGCTGAAGACATGCGTGAAAAAATCCCACTCTCATCTGCAACCCTAGTCAATCCAACATGATCTAACGTAGCTAGCGATTGTAGTTCATTTAAAATCAGCTCACTAACGTTACAAAGAACGAGCCTAGTACCATATGTGTGTGGACATGTGTGTGCTCATGTGCTTTTCTTGACCACTGTGTAAACCAGGGAAATATAAACAGAGCTAAATAAAATATTCTGTGATGTCCCTGATTCAGTAATACTAAGTAGGTTACTAATTTTGGTATCAGTATTGGTATCAAAGAGTACCAAAAACCATACTCATACACAGTCTGAAAAAAATGGTGTTGATGCGTTCCTGCTTATTTTAATGTGAGTAATGTTACGTGTTCCAAAGCCAAGCTGTCAAGCAAAAGAGCACAAAGGCAGTCTGAGAATGCTGGATAAATGCTGACCGCAAAATCTTCCACTGTAAAAGGCTACATCAGGTTTATGAAAGAAACACGCGCACACACACACACACACACACACACACAGAGGCATACACACATGATGACCTGGAAAATTCATGGCTTTGAATGTGACGTGCGGAAACACTCGTAGTGAATCAGGTCACAATTACTAAAAACATGTTTATACCCAGAGAAAATGGGTATTTGAACCAGAGAGTGTTAAAGTTTGTCAGTACATGCTCATTGTCTTGGCATGTGCTGAGAAATAATTTTCAAAACAAAAAAAACGATTTAGAAAAATCATGTCTTCCAAATCAGATTTTTCCCATTGACTTGCTAGTTTTAGTTTTTAATGATTGTACAGAGGCTGTATCCATTAATATGCATATCGATTGCCTTTCTTTTTCCAGATAATGATTTTCTATATATTGACTTCCTAGTGCACTAATTAATACATCCTATTCCTGTCTCCCTTCTCAGCACATGAGTCCGACTCTGACACATTTGCCTTTTTCCATGAGGGGGTGCGGGGCTGTTTGGCCGTACGAGACCACGCGCTCTACCTCACAACATCCTGTGATGGTGATGCTCAGCTCTGGAAGTGGGTCACCCGGAATCGCCTCTTTAACATAGGCTCCTCCCTCTGCCTGGGTGTCAGAGTGGGAAATGGGAGTGCTTCGAGTGTCTTGCCTCGGCTCAGCGTGTACCGGTGTGACCGCGAGCCCCCACTGGTCCGGTGGTCGTGGAGCTGCAGCAAGTTCCTCGATGATCTCAGTACCTATTTGCCCAATCCAAACCCACCCAGAGATGACCGCAACACCTCAGCTGCTCGGGCCTCACCACCAGCTGGTAGCACACAGTGGAGACTTTATGGTGACGAGCAGGACCTCTGTGCCAAAACATACCGTGGTAAGACATACTCAGCCCTTGCTTGGGTATCAATGAAATAATTTTATCACACTAATTTGAATGAATTTTCATTGGGGCTATGAGGCTAATAAGTACAGTGCCTTCCATTGTACTTTGAACCTTTCTGCATTTTTTTACAATTTGATGTTTTTTTTTTTTTTTTTTACAATTTGATTTACACAATATATCTATCATTTGAATGTGCTTTTTTATTGTTATATAAAGGTTATTTAAACAACAAAGCAGATGTACTGCTGGGTCAGTACTTGGTAGAACTACCAGTCCCTGGTGATGAAAAGCGTCCTCACAACACTGATGCTACCACCACCATGCTTTACTCTGGGTATGGTGTTTTCAGGGTGTTGAGCAGTGCTGGGTTTCAGCCAAACATAGAGCTTTTTGCCATGGCCAAATATTCAAGGGCTTGAATACCAATGTAAGGCACTATGGCTTGCGAGTAACAGCAGTTGCATAGTAGCATAGTTGCACAGTAGCATAGTGAAGACGGCATGTCTAAACCATCAAATTTGCCTTAAATTGTGTTAACTTATGTGATGTCAAATAGACTTGCTTATTTGTTTTCTGGCACTGTATATATATATATACACACAACTGTTATCTGTAAAATATGTGAAAAAGAGTCGTTTTAGCCAATCCTCCTGCCATTCCTAATAGCTAATCCTCTAGTTAACTGCTAATAAACAAGCTCACATTTGTCACAGTTAAACACAAGTGAGATTTCAGTATATCAGTCTTGATCATCAAATTCTTAATGATTCATTTAACAGTAGCCAAACTTGTCAAAAAAAAAAAAACACAATAACAACCACGATTTTATTAATCACTGAAATTAGCGAAAGTAGCTTAGATTTCAGTGTCTGTGTCCGTGACATTGTTGTACACTCAGAAATGTATTTAACAGCAGACAGATAAAACTATAAAACTACATCACTTACTTAGCCAGACAGTGTGTTTTGGGGCAAATGTATAATGACTTACGTATAATAATATAGTTTACAGTTTGCTAAACTAGTTGCTAAGCTTCACTCGCTCTTCTCTTACTCTCACTTTAGTTTCGTAGTTCCCATGCAGGACTAAGAAAGCAAACTTGTCTTGTCTTGTCTGACATGTAAAACATGCCTTGACTCAGCAACTTCATTTGATCTAAATGGAAAATTGTGTAAATGTTCACTTTTGACTGAAATGCTCCATCAAATGAATTTGAGTAGAGGAGTATTAGTAAGACGTAAATAACACATATGAAAACAACAAGAAGCAGAATGTGGTGAGATTGAGGCCATTATAGGCCGGAAGATGATTGATGGGGAGAGAATGTGAGTGCTGTCCTGATGGAGGTCTGGAGCACATCTGGGTCTCTTTAGATCAGGATCTATTTCATGCTGGGAGATTTGAAGCCAAGGGCAAGTCTGGCTGTGTACCAGAGAAGCAGCCATCTAAGAGAATGCATTGTGTTTGTAAATAGCAGAGCAGCCTGGTGTGTAGCAGCTGGTTTGGTTTTAATACTTCTGTATCCAGTGTTCAGTGATTAATCCTCAAGACCCCATGAATTTCAGGGTGGATCATTAAGACTATTGAAAATGCCTGTGTTCTGGTCGCACCCAGGCTGAAAAGTAACAAACTACATGCACTCTAATTTCGGTACTTGAGTACATGGTTCACTGTAACAGTACTTTTTTACTTGAGTTTATATATATATATATACATAAAATATTAAACTTTACTACATTTATTTTTTTATTACTTTCACAGAGTGGAAAGTTTTTTAATGCATTTAACCCCAGAAGTCAATTAAAAGACATTTTTTAAATAATTCCATTGCGAGATCCAATTAAAATATGTTTAGTCCCCAGCAGCAATGAGTGAGCCAGTGGGTTCAGATGAACATCCCTGGTCCAATTTGTAAGGTATCTTCATTTTTAAATGCTTCAAGGAAAACAGTGTGATAATCTGCAAATAATGCAAATCAGGGTGAATTTCAGGGTGAAATACTGTTTTTACAACAAATTAAGTCAGATAAGACTTAATATTTCTACTGAGCAGACTAGATATCATGCGAGAAAAAATGTGTTGATGTTCACGGATAACTGAAACACAATTTTGCATTTGGCAAACAAGCATGCGCATCTCTCACAACAATTGTTTGATAATTTTGAGGTCTAAATGTCAGTGTGCGCAGTTTGGCCCAGATAACAAATCTTAACTTTAATGATAATCATATACTATTTTAGTAGTAGATGCATAGTTATCATTAAGGTCTTTTAGTGCACTGGAGTCTTGTTAAATTAAGCTCAAGTTGGAGCTATGTCCCATTATATTATATTATCCATCTCAGGGAGCTCAGGGTACAAGGCGGGGGACACCCTGGACGGGGTGCCAACCCATCACAGGGCACAATCCCACACACACCCATTCACACACTACGGACAATGTAGAAATGCCAATCAGCCTATAATGCATGTCTTTGGAATGGAGGAAACTGGAGTACCCAGAGTAAACCCCCGAAGCATGGAGAGAACATGCAAACTCCACACATACAGGGCGGAGACAGGATTCGAACCCGCCCCACAGCCGGAGGTGCGAGGCGACTGTGCTAACCACTAAGCCACCGTGCCCCCTTATATTATATTATATTATATTATATTATATTACATTACATTACATTACATTACATTACATTACAGCAGCTTGACACTTGTTTAGCTGCAAGGCAAATCACAGGTATATATTAATTTGCTCATTCTAACATGTTATCATTTTATCCAAATAAATAGATTAAAATGTATATAACACTTGATATGGTGAAGTTTTCTGTGAGGATCCATTTAGTGAGCATTTTTGGAAGGAGTCTTCCATGTCAGAGCCTTGTAACAGTCAGCGGTAAACCCTTTGTTTTTTTTTTTGATAACAGGAACTTGTTTCACAGACTTTCCACAGCATTAACTGTAATTATAAATGAATAAATTGCATTGCATGTCTTTACGTAAAAACATTCATTGTTAGAAAACTGATGTGGTACACTATATGGCCAAAAGTTTGTGGACACCTGACCAACACACCTATATAGTATATAAGAGGAATAAAACACTTTGCTATATGCAGTTATTGGAAAATAATCAAGCCGAACTGTCATTTATTACTTTATTACATCAGCATGCCCCAACCCTAGAGTGATTGAATCTATAGCCTCATGCTTTTAAATTCATAACAATTCTCTTGTTTATATGAAACTAAATGAAATGTGTACACATAGCCCTTGTTAAGGTATAAAATTCTCTTGAATGTGAGAAAGTAGAGTCATCAGGATATAGTACAATGTTCTCAGCTTATTCTCTTTTATGTACACAGGGACATATGGAACAACTTCTGTTATTTTAATAGATCTTTAGTAGATCTGTGCTTTTAGTGCTTTTAGCATTTCATTTGGTACAGTTTCATCACAGCCATGACTATTTCAGAATTACATCTTTCACCACAGCACTTGGTCAAAATTACAGCTGTGTAGCATATAAAATGGAAAAAATAACAAAAGTGCCTGAGAGCTGTTGCTGAGATGAGAGACTGAACTTGGGAAGACAATGTGATTTAATTGCAGACGGTACAAAATTTTAGGGCAGCTGTGTTTCATTGCACTGTTCTCCCTGAATGTCTCGGATTTCTGTCAACTGGCACGAAACTCACAGAAAGACCAAAGTCTTTGCTTCGTTCTGTCCTGCGATTCCTGTCGTCTGGTTCGTGGCGAGGCGGCTGGAATGAATTGGAGTGTTTTCAAACCTGAGAAGGAGATGCCACCGATCTTAGTCACTGGTAGATTTTGCAGGCATGTGTGTGCCTCTGTCTGTGTGTGAAGGCACTGTGAAATTTTGTAATGTCTGCCCCTGTTTTTTAGAAGAAATACTCCAGTGATTTTTCAGCATAATATCCATGATACACATCTGTAGCATATGACTGATTACCACAAACAACACTTCTGACACGTTGAGCTGTACTGAGAAAAACCTCTCCACTCAAACTTCATTTGTAACAAAAGTCCAAAGGCAGTTGTGGAGTGTTTTTTTTTTTTTTTTTTTAATATTCCATGAATTCTTCAGTCAAAGGTGTTTCAACCTGTATAATTTAACATGTACAGTACTGTGCAAAAGTTTTAGGCACCCTATTTTTTTTTTTAGTACAAACTTTGTTATAGATTTGTGTTTTATGACTTCTACATTATTGATTCAGTACAAAAACTTTTTAGATTTCCAAACATTAGTTTTCCAGCACAACATTAAATGTAACAGAAAAATGTTTGTATGTCAGTAAAGAAAGCAGCATTAATTACATAAGAGACCACTTTTCGGACAAAAAACTGTTTTGTATAATGTTTTTTATATTCATAATGAAAGCTGCTGGGTTTTGCTGCAAAAATAAGAAGCAAGTGTGACAGTCAAAGTTTCCAGAAGAACTGTGGCTGCTTCTGCAAGATGCTCAGCAAAACCTACAGCTCATTTCTTTATAAAACTGCACTAATTGTACCTGAGACTACTATATTTTTTTAAAGTGAAGGATCGTCACACCAGATATTGACTTTGTTTCATTTATTACTGTTTACTGCTCTTTGTAGTATTTTTTTTAAATGTAGAAACATTTAATTTCATTATTTTTGAAGGCATCTTTGCCCTACAGCACTTTTGCACGGTACTGTATATACAAAGCCTAATTGTGTATTTGATTGCATATGGAAACCACAAAAACCTATAACATATGAATAATTCGTTTTTTAAAATTCCTTTGTATTGCCCAAGTTTGATAAAACTGAGAAAATGTAGCACAAATGTAGTGCAGTAAAAAGTCCCAAATGTTGGGACCAAAATACAATATTTTTTAAAAATTATTAAGTATGCAGCAGTTTGCACTAAACTGTCCCATCATGCACCGCAGCACAAAAGAGGAGGGTCTTGTCCCATATACCGGATGGGAGAGAGTTCATCTGCCACGGTCTCCATATGTTGCACAGCACACATTATTGGTTAAGTTAGCAAGCTCACGTCAGGTAGCACTGAATACATTTCAGCACTGTTGTTTACAGTAAGTGTATTTTTACTGTTCCTTAAAAGTGGGGTCACTGAGTTTTAAGGCAAAATGCATTTTGTAATATTTGTGATATTTCTCATATTCTTCTCAAATTCTTGCAGTTGTCAATAAAATATCTGAGAATAAATACTATGGAGTCAATGACAGGCCAAGAAGAAAATAAAATGATTTGGACCACCAATATCCAACCAAGCAGCACAAAGAGGCATCTCTACTTACCTGTCAATCATGCTGCAGAAATCTTTAAACTTTAGTTTGTTAGAGTTTTAGCTTTAGCTAGCCTTTGCCAAAGTCACTGACTACATCTTTAATTATAAAATGGTACAATGTACAAATTCTCTCATGTACAAATCCATTTAAAAGTATGTTTAATGTACTAGTCTAGTATTAGGTGATATGTGATTTGGGACACAGCTTGGGAAAAGAAGAGAGAACATGGACCATCGTCTTTAGGACTTTAAAGTGACATGGCACTATTTAGCAGACTTGTGCACATGTACACATGAGTCCTTGGTAAGGGCAAAAAAGCAGTTTGTAATTCTTTCACAATGTAATTATTTATTTACTGGTGTACTCTGTCAGCGTTGTTTACACTGAAAGTGAGTAATAATTTCCACTTGCTGGAAACAGTTGACGTGTATTTGGCCACTCCTGAATGGCTATTCACCAAGAGACACAAGAGATTACAGTCTGGAAAACTAGAAACATTCAGTAGTCCTAGTGCATGCAGGGATTTTTTTTTTTTTGGCAGATTAATTATTCTCCCCTCTTCACAGAAATCTACACCATCCAGGGAAACTCTCACGGACACCCGTGTTACCTGCCTTTCCTATATGATGGCCAGTGGTTCCACAGCTGCACCAGCGTGGGGAGAGAGGACGGCCATCTCTGGTGTGCCACGACACATGACTATGGCAAAGATGAACGCTGGGGATTCTGCCCTGTTAAGAGTGAGTTCACTCTGATTATGCTGTGATATTAATTTTGCAATATGTTACATTAAGCCACAGTACTGTTGAATTCTCGGATCTGATTGGTCAGAAGGTATTGATTACTTTTCTGTAACATCAGCTCTGACAATAGTTCCAGCTGCAAGAAGACAAATCACAAGTTTATATTAATGTTCTCATTCTAATACATTATTGTTTCTATAGTAACAACTCATTCACAGGAACTTCTTTGGCAGATGCTTCAAATAAACCATGGCTAATAATAAACGGATTTTTAAAATGTGCTGTTTAACAAAGATTAAAAATAATCTTTCATACGGAAAAGTCTTCTGTAAGGAGATTCTGTATTTAACATTTAAGGAAGGAATCTCCAGTCTCAGTGATTTTCACAGTCAATAAGTTTTCTGCCATGGGAAAGTCATCAGTACAGAAGACTTTGACCTTTGCAGAGGTGGCCAGATTGGAATGACAGTTTCCAAACAAATCATCTCAAACTGGAATCAATTTAAATGCCATTTGTCTGAAGTGATCTGTTTCTCTAGAAACTTTGTGTATTGCTCTGCAATTTTTTACTACGTCTATTAAACTCCTGGGCAAAAAGAACGGGCCAAACCCAAAATGGCAAAATATTAAGTTTTTAATGGTCCTAACAACAAATCATTGGTCAGGAAATTACCAAAGAATTAAACAAATAGATAAAGGAACTTAGTAGCTTTTCCCTTTCCCTTAGTAGCTTAGCTTTTCCCTTTGATTTCTTTAAATGTTTAAATGTGATTTGTGGCCCTTGATGGGCTGCATCAGGTATGGCAGATAACCAAATAATGACTCATCTTTTATGAAAAAAAAATCATCCCAGAAGATATTTTTGGAAAGTTTTGTACACCCAGACATGTGTTAGTTTGAATTTTACACCAAACCTTTTAATCATTATAATGATTTTACCTTTGTGTACAAGAAGGCCATATAAGTATATTTCACTGTTTCTAGCTTTTCCCCAAACAGTTCTCTACAGCAGAGTAAAAGAGCAAATGGTGGCACAGGAGATCTCAGGAGCGCATTTGTTTAATTCTTGCTCATTTTCTGAGTAATGATTTGTTGTTAAGACCATTAAAAGCTTAATATTTGCCATTTTGGGCTAGGCCCTTTTTTCCCCCAGTGGTACACTGTAGTTACTGGATTTTTTTTCTCATATTAACACAAGGATATTCATTTACAGACAACATTAAAGATGATGCAACTTGTGCGAGCCCTGGTGAAAAAATAGAAGATGTCTGTCATTCTAACCATCGCTTCTGGTTGCAAAAAACAAAAACCTAAGCCAAAACAAATCCAGATCAAACTGTGCATAATTCTTCCTGTATAACACCTGGGCTGTTTTCATTCATATGACTCAGATGTACCTGTAATGTCACCAGCTGGCATTTTAGTACTTTGGCCCAGTGAGGACATGCCTGTTTTGTCTGTCTCTCTGTCTCTAGGTGCGGATTGTGAGACATTCTGGGACACAGACTCTCTGATGGATAACTGCTACCAGTTTAATTTCCAGGCCACTCTGTCATGGGAGGAGGCTCACACCAGCTGCCAACAGCAGG